TTATTTCAAGATTATTTCCTAAATAATCTTTAAATATATATGATTCTGGTATTTCAAAGTCTATTAAATGACTAACAAATTTAACATTTACATGACTTTTATCTGCTCCAGTATCTATGAGGACAAGAAGATTCTTCTTGTATCATTCTTGATTTACATATCTTGTCTTAATGTAATATTGCGAACTCGATGGTTCAGCAATACTTAGATTCTTAAGTCTGCTTATTCTAGAGTATTGTCTAGAGGGAAATTTTGCAATAAGATTATTTCCTTCTAAGCTGACACTATTTCTTCTTATTAATTTTCCTTCAAAATTAATTTCTCTAGCTTGTTTGTGGAAGTCAAGCATTATTTGTTCTGGTATAGTGACTTCATGTTCTTGGTATTTTCTAGGAGGAATATATTGTTCTAATTCCTCAAAATCTTTATGTATAATAATATTATCAGTTATCTTTTTTAGATTGTTATGATGGCTAGTACTAAAAGTAAAAATTGATTTTATGCTTATACTAATAGCCTTATTTCTTCGTAATATTTTCAAGTTTCCAATTCTATAGTATAGATTGAAACTTTGGTCAATATTTTCATCATTTGATGATATTGCATAATTTGGTTTTACTGTAAATATTATCTTTTGATAGACTAAGTTTCCTACAACTGTTCCTAATAGAGCATCTATAGGATCTTGTAAGATTCTATTGTCCATACAATAGATTTCTATTGGTATATTCATACCTTCTCTAAAAAATCCTTTTATCATTATCTGGATTCCTCCTAATTCAATACATTTCAATTTATTTCTTATATTCTCTGAAATTTTGGATAATTTTTATTTTACCCACTCTTTTGTAATTATAGAAATCCTTGCTTTTCCTATAATATCTTCTATATTGATAGACATTTCTTTATAATTCATACTTACAATTGTTTTATTTACTCTTGGTAAAATTCTTAAGAATCCTTGATAGAATACATCCTTTTCTTGTAGGTCTAGTATTTTTTTAGTGATTCTTGTGTATTTTTTTAATATCAAAGGTGATCTCTTGATTTATACCTTCTATAGAATCTTCAACTTTTTCAATTGTTTCTATTTCTATTTCTGGTTGTTGTATCTCTTGATTCATATATACTATTTTCTCATAATCTTCTTCTGATGAGGATGTATCTAATTCATAAATGCTATTGCATTCACTACTTAGATCTTCAAAATATTCAATTGGTTCTATATCACTATCTTCTTGAAATTTTTCATAAATTCTAAGAGTTTTTATATTTTGTCTATCTTTCTTTTTAGGACATTGAGGAGCAATATGTCCTTCTTTATTACAAATAAAACATCTACATTTTTTAATGTTTCTTTGTTTAAATTTCTTATTCCAACTTCTTTTCTTGAAATATTTTTTATGTGGTTTAAAATTTCTTTTCTTGAAGTTTTTGTAGTTTTTGAATTTTCTTTTATATTTCTTATATGGTTTATATTTCTTCTTAAGACATCCAAATTGTTTAATTTGGTCATTATCTTTGTAACAACATAATGAATTCTTTCTTATTTTATATGCTTTTTTATTTTCTAAAGCCTCTCTACACCATATACCTATCATCTTTTTTGTAAATTCAGTTCTACTTTCAAGACTATTTATTTCTACTCATTCCTCTTCTCCTAGAGGTAGTAATTTTTCATATTCTTTTAATAACTTAATTCCCCATGGGAATGGTAACTTAGTAAAATAAGATCTTAATATAGGTTTATTTTCCTGATAATCTCCTTGGTTTAATATATAATATATTTCTTCGAATTCACATGTGTATCTTTCTAGTTCACACATATCACATATCTTTAAATTTTTCATTGCTATCATTCCTTGATTATATTCATCTTGTTTTCTTTCTTCATTATTAGAAGTATACATATCTCTTAAAAATTCTGTTCTTAAGATTTTTTCAAATGTTTTTAATATCTCCTGAATATTTTGTTCATTTAAAGAATTTCTATTATCTAATATTTCAGTCCTACTTGCTCCATATTTTACCGTTCCTTTAATAGTTTCTGGTAATTTTCTCTACCATTCAGAAACAATTCCTCTGAATGTATGTTCTATAAATCCAAAAGTTGTATATGTTTCCCATTTATTAAATTGTATTTCTAAATCTGTACTTTTCATTCATATTTCAATAGCTTTATTTTTATCTACACAGTCTAAATCTAATCATATCCCTGTTGTATGGATTGGTTCATTATAAGATTTCATTGGATTTATTTCTTTTATAGACTATTTTCTTACATTTCCAGTGTATCTTTTCTGTGTTTTTCTATATTGGTTAATACTATCCTTAAGTGGTATTGTAGTATCATAAGAATAATCATATTCTTCATCACTGCTAAATTCTACTTTTATATTTTGACTTGAAGATGGATTAGTATTCATCTTTATATTTTTTATTTTTTCAGTTAATTTTTCTAACTGTTTTTTATATTCTTCATACTCTTCTCCTGTAGATTTAAAAAATTTTTGTTCTATTTCTTCTACATTTGTAATCATATATTGTTTTTCTTCATGTTTTTTCCCTTTATTATTTTCTTTTTGTGTTATCCTAAAATCTTGAGGTGGATTAATTATAATCTTATCTTTTCCTTTAAAACTTTTATCTAAAAGAGCATTTCCTACTTGTAGATTATGTTCTAGATTTTCTATTCTTTTACCAAAACTTTCATTTGTAGTGTTTTTAGGTAAATAGGGATAACTAGGTTTTTTATGTTTTTCAACTTTTTTCAAAAATTCTTCAATTATATTTTCTTCATCTACTATATTCATCATTATTTTTGGTTCGTAACTTGGCTTTGATACCATTTCGTCGGAGTATGCAGCGGAGGGGTTAATATTTTTGAGCCAATTAAAATCTTCATAAGTATTTAAAATATCACAATAGAATTTATAAAATTCACTATTTTCTATTAATACTTTTTCTTCAATAATTATATTTAGTTCTTTAATTCTTCTTCTCAAATTGAGAATTAGTTTATATATATCATTTTCTGTTTTGAATGTATTATTATCTATAGAAATATTTTTATTTTTTAATTTTGGATCTAAATATTCTGTAAAGAATCCTTTTAGATCTTCTTCTAAATAGTTTAATTCACTTTCTGTTGTGTTTTTTAGATCAATAAAATTTTGTATAATATTTGGGTTTAAATTTATTAAAGATTTTTTATCTATATTTTTTTGAGGACCTAATTGAAGGTTTTTATATATTGTAGTGGCTTTGGTTGCAATTTCTTAATAAGGGGTATTTTTGGAAAGACATTTATTCAAAGGCTATTTTTCAAATGTTTTTATTTTTTGGTCTATTGTTACAAACCTTCCTTTTATTTAGGCTATATTGAGGTATTTCCTCAAAGAAAATGGAGGGAGATAATATAATAATTTGGAGGAAGCTTGCGAAAATAAAAGAAAGTAAAAAAATAATTAGTATATAGTGGGAATACTAAGATAAGTATTAAAAATAAAGAGGTTTTTTGAGTATTTAAAATTTTTTAACTCTATAAATTGTAAAATATCCTCTTTAAAAATCGAGAGTCTCTTGAAAATAATGTAATATTTGTCCTCTCAAATCACTACGGCACTGTGTTTTGTTTTTATTGCATGTATCAAGCATAAAAGGGACGTCTTGAAAATATTAATAAACAATAAAATTTGATCTTTAATTATAAGATTGTTTAACAAATGTAAACATATTTAGAAGAGTATTGATACAATATTATAGCAAAAATTCTTCAAGTACAGAAAATTTTTGTCAGATTTTTGAATTCTCACTCACATGAGTGGGCCCATGTATAAAATATTGAAAAAAAAAAATTCCCGCCTTTTGAATGTGAGTGTTCGGTAGGTACATGGATTTAAATCCCTGTACCTATAGCAAGGTTGATATTATAGTGGCAATGTATCATCTTGTCAAAAGTTGCGCTGGAATTTTGTCAAATTCTAAAATTTTCTCCCTTAAATAAAAGAGGGACTAATGCGCTAAATTTCAAGATGTTAGCTTATTGGGGCTACTTTACTATTCTGTTAACTGAGCCCTTGTTTGGTATCCATTTTTCCTAAAATACATTTTTCTCTCTCTTATTTTCAACCATACACTCTTCAATAAAATAATATCACATGCAAAATTAAAATTTTTTCTTATTTTTTAACCACACATTTTTCAACAATCACTATTATAAAATGCATTTTTACTATGAAAATGAGAAACAAACATGCTCCGAGTTTTTTCCTTATTCTATTTTTGAGCCTGTTGTGATGGACCATTATCGTGCTATTGGGTCTAATCCATTAATTGATAAAATGTGTTCTTAAAATGATACTTTGCCTTTTGAGTTGGTTGATCTTGGATTTACACGTAACCATGCCATGACCGTTAGATCTGATATTTTTGTGATACTATTTAAGCTCTCCAATCGTCTCTTTCCCGATTGGCTGTGAGATTATTGGGTTTTTTGGTTTCTTTCTCTCTGCACTGCATTTTCGTCTTCTTCTTTGTGTTGTAATCTCCGTGAAATTCGAAGTGAGATTTATGTGGTATATTTTGTGTACAAAAGAGAGGTTTAAGAAGAATTGTAGTATTACTGTATTAGAGAGACGGGAGAAAACTTGTGAAGAAATCTCTATTTGATCTGTACTATTCTTGATGATTTCAGTGGATACGAGCAAAATATACTTAATAGATGCTCAATGTGGGGAGTATGCCTTTGACTGAACGTCCGGAGCCCTAAGGGGTAAAAAATTTGTGTCCTTCCATTTTCTGCAATTTTTATTTTCTTCCAAACATTTTGCTATACGATTTATGATTTTGAGACCAACACAAGAAAAATTAACCATCAATGTAAGAAAAATTAGAGTCCTAATCAGTTCAACTGTACAATATAACACAAGCTGGATGGATTTGAAGTATATATTGAAAGTATGGCTGAGTTTATAATCATATTAAATAATAAAACCATGGAGTACATAAAAAAGATGAACATTTTAATACTATTTTTACATTTTATTATGTCCAGTAACAATAACAATAATAAGAACAAGAACAACAAACTCAGAGATTTCTAGAGACAGACTTTACCAAACCCCTTGTTTATTCACCAATGCATAATATTATTATAGAAATCCCAAACAATGGGATCATTCCATGATTGTTTAGATCTTTTTAATTGGGCTTGGAAAGATGGTGACTCTCAATATCTTTAGTAACAGCAAGGCAGAGGTCCATTAATGTGTTGGGATCTGGGACATTCTCGTCCTTCTTCTCGTACTCCAAAGTCCATGTTACCAAGTTGTTATTTCCATTGGTGTCAACATGGACAGTTAATTTGAAGTTGTTGTATAAGTCCATGAGGTCTCCTTCGATGACCTTGAAGGTCACAGACTTCTTTTCCTCGTCTATTGCTTCAATTATCTCTTTCGCAACCCGGGCTTTACCATCTGTAGTTCACAATCAAAACCATTAATGTGAACCTAATTATATATAGAACATCTATGACTTCAAAACAATTAAAAAGGTAAAATGAATATTCAATTTGATTATCAAATGGCAATTCATCAACTTCAACAATTATTTTTCAAAAAGTGTTACAAGTGGATTAGTGTTAAAAATTTTGACAAGTTAGGAGCAATGAAAGATTGACTAGTCTTTCTACTATAGGCAGAATCTTTTGTGTGCGCGCTTCTAAAAATGTAATGAGAAAGACTGGTGGTAACCATTGGAGCTGACAAAAGTAATAATTTATTTCTACGGATGTATGAAAATAAATTTTATACCGTTCGAGCTTCATCTTCCCTGTGGTAAGTTTAATAAATAATTTTAAACCTTGTAAAACGAATCTTGAATATAGGAGGATGATATTGTTGTTGTTATGAGCCAACAATATCTTGAGAGTTTTAAATTTTAGTTGAGAGCACTGAGATTTTGATGTATATATAATTACTAATGATTATAGTGAATTTATCTTTTTTTGCTCGTGATTTTTTTCCGTCTTGAGTTTCCATGTAAATCTTGATATTGCAGAAAGAAAATTTATAACACCGATTAGTAGATAAACATGTTCTCCAACACGAAGACCAAAGAAATAATTGACTTGTCAAATTATCGATCGAGCCACCTAGACTTACCATGGGTGTAGTTCCAGAAGATGACAGAGCCAACCGTCCCCCACTGACCCTGGTGCAAATCACATTTCTGAATGTTAGCAGGGCTCATGCCCGATATATGATGAGGTCTCTCTCTAAAGATTTCATGGAAAACGTCCCCATCGGATTTAATATCTATTTGGGAAACCAATTTTCCTGTAAGAGCCATTTAATTTTTTTTCCCCACAAATATTACAAAAGAAACTAGTAGAATTGATTTTGAGGTGAGTGAGATATGCTTGAAAATGAGGTCTTTATATAGCAGAGTAAAGAGTGATTATCATGATTAGAAATTTCCAGTTTTGCTTGTTATTATTTTTATATGTAACTGTTTTTGAAAATAAAAGTAGGGCATATATGGGGAAATGGTGATGCAATTGATCTTTTCATAATTAAGTTTAGCAAACCCTAGCTACCACCCAACACGCCCTACACATAAATGTTAGAATAGGGTTTTGTCCATTGATTTGTACTTACAATAATTTGAAATAAAATATTATTTTATTTCTTGATGAATTATTTGTAATAGTTTGAGTTTGCATTTGTTAAAATGGATTAATTTGATATTATAAATCGAGTGTTTAAATTTTTAAGCACAAAAAAAAAAAATGATTTATAATTCGATCTCAGTTTTATTATCTACGAAGAATGAATATAGAAAAATGTTTTATTTTGATAAAGATCATTTCAATTTTATTAAAGTTCATCTTTGACTTTGACAATAAGATTGAACGTAAATTTTGAAGTGCATTGGATCAGTTCGTATGAAATTTATTTTGTGAAATTGACGACAAGTATTTTATCATTTTACCTTGTTACGAATTTTTGACTTGGTCTATGGGGATAATATTTAAGAACAATAAGTTAAAGGACATAATTAATATTTATACATGGTTTCGGTATGAGATAGCTTGCTAAATATTTGAAATAGCAAAATATTATTTTTGTCTCAAGTCAAGGTAATCGCGTGATATGAAGGTTTTTACCAATGGCTTTTACCCCTTTAATGAGTAAACAAAGAAGGAAAATTCGTTGAGTTCTAGGAAGTTTGGTTTAGTTGTTATCATTTCATGTCTATAACTTAGTTCCTTTGATTACTACATGGATGAACCTAATCCAAAATATTAACCATAAAAAAGAATCATATGTGCAGTATTTACAGATAAAAGTATCTAATTATTGGGAAAAATTAATGTACTTAATTCTTAGTCAGATTAAAAGATGGGATTTTCCTTTAGTCGCTTATAGTAAGGAGCTATGAAGCCTTCCCTTATTGTAAACCATAGGATAGGATCAACAAAAACGAGTTCTTCCACATGTAATATCTATTTCTCTACTTCCCTCTTATTTTGTCAACGTTTAAGCAGAGGTGAATGTGGAATGAGTAGTTCATTTGAAAGTGCTAGGGACTCTATTATAGATATGAGCCTATGTTTGACTGATATTTATAAAAACTAGTGTCATTTTTTCAAACATTTTGATGTACCAATAAATACTACCCACTTAAGGATTCCGTACTTCCACTTATTTATAATTTAAACTGTTTATAATCCTTCCCAAACATGTTCCAAGTCGAAGTGAATCCGTGACAAATTGCAGTACATTTGCAAGTGTTATTGGTTCTATGCCAATGGGCCTTCTATCAATTAATGAACTGTAGAACGGGGGAGTGAATTATCCAAAAGGTCATTGAACTTTGCAAAAAAGTTTTCACGAGATCACTGAACTTTAAAAATCATCAAATTCATCACTAAATTTTGCAAAACGTTTCCAAAGGGTTATTGAACTTAAAAAATCATTCCATTCATCACTGAACTTTGTAAAAAAGTTTCATGGAGTCATTGAACTTTGCAAAAGATTTTCAAACATATAACTAAATTTAGTGACCCCTGGGAAATCTTTTGTAAAGTTTAGAGATGAATTTGGTGATTTTTAAAGTTCAGTGACCCCGTGGAAACCTTTTATAAAGTTCAATGATGAATTTGATAACTTTTAAAATTCAATGATCTCACGAAAACTTTTTACAAAGTTCAGTAACTATTTGGGTAATTCACTTTAGAGTTCAGAAAGGAGTGATCTCTTCACAGGAATGAGATAATATTGTATATTTAATTACCCGACAAAGAATTAATTGTGGATCGATAAAATTATTTGGGTCCCACCATATCACATGAAACACGTACATTATTTTAATTTATCCATCTATTTTAGATAATTTTTATTAATTAGTTTCGTATAAAAGTCAAACCTCACACAATTTCAAGATTAGACGGCACCGAAATTGTCACTAATTGAATTGACTAGCAATAGGCTTCCCACTCATGTACTCTTTAATAACATGTTTGTAAAGTAAAACAATTTAAATTATAAATAAATAAAAATTAATAGTAAATAATGAAGAGTACTTGTGAATAATCAAAATGTATGAATTAAAAATGACTCAAACCGAACATAAATTAAATGTAACTTAGTTGAAGATAGCCAATGAAACATCATTACAATGACAAAGGATTATGAAAGTAATAGATTTGAAATCTAATAATAGCAAAGCTTATTTTATTGAAAAACAATAATCATATAAAAAAGTTTGTGTTACTAATTTTAGGATTATACTACTTATACATAAGAATGATATATAAGATATTACATAAAATATTATGAAGGAAAAAGTTGAATGTATTTTAAATTGACAAATGATAGAATGACATATACATTATATAACCTATTAGGTAAAGTTTGATGTACATATAGCAATGTCCCTAATTCTATGAGGCCGGAATTTTACACATCAAGATTTTGCAAGCTAATTACCTGTCAATATTGTTTGATTGGTGACCCATGTGCACTGCACTTATATGAATAAATCATACATTTAATTAAATATAAAAACTTATGGTACATTGGTGTTCAACATCACTCGTGATAACAATATTCTAACTTTATACTAGAAGAAAGTAGTAATGTGATTTGAAAATGGATAATGATTCAAATTACAACTCTCTATAAATATCCTTAACATCCCTCAACTCCATATACGTACAACAGCATAAGATATTTTTTTGAAAATAATTTGTAAATTCATACATAACATACAATGAAAATGCTTGAATAACTCCAGTTTACAGTAAAATCGTTGCAAAAGTTGGCAGTTATGTTGTAAAAGATAAACTCTGTAAATACCAAAATCCAGGTAATTTAACAATTTGTCTTAATTATTCATTTCAAAGAGATTTCGACAGTCAATTAAAACTTCCTACAAGCAATTTCGTACTCAGTTATGACTGACGTGAGTTGACAAATTAGTATTCTACGAGACATAATCAAATGCGAAAATAGACAATAGTGAACACTAGATATAACGTGATAAACCCCTAACGAAAACATCCACAAGTCCTTATACCACGGGTAAATAATCAATTATCAAACAATCAAAAATACAATAGTTTTTATTTTGTAATTTCATAAAATTAACAAAAAGAATCAAAAGCAAATAAAGAACAACTCCCTTGTTTTCTTATGCTTTTGACTTGTTGAAGAAGTGAAATCAAACCCTCCGGTCTTGACTTTATCACCACTTTACTATTGTATTCGACCACTACCACTTCTTAGATTAAGATTTACAAATCTTAACTCATGTCAGTAACTTGATATTTAAGTAGAATTATAACATTCACGCTTTGCTTTTTTTTTTGAAGAAGTGAAATAAAACCCTCCGGTCTTGACTTTATCACCACTTTACTATTGTATTCGACCACTACCACTTCTTAGATTAAGATTTACAAATCTTAACTCATGTCAGTAACTTGATATTTAAGTAGAATTAAAATTCCCCCTTTTTTTTTTTTTTTTTTTTTTTTTTAAATTACGGTTGAAGAACATGACTTTTGCTTCGAGATACTTCAATGGAATATTACACTGGGCTAAACTCATTGTAGACGGTGAGAACTTGCTGCTGCAGGATCATCGAGCAAAGGTAGATTTTCTCGAAAGCATTAGTCCGTCCCTTAATATTTTTTTACTTATGTAAGGACTCCTCCAGGACACGAACGTCTCTTAACTAAATTATGATAGTTTTACAAGGTAAAAATAATATATAATTGGTTTGATATGGTAAATAATTAATTTGTGGAAAGTTTTGATTTGTTACTTTAATCGATCTTATTTTATTTATTTGACTAATCAAACCACATCTAAGATGGTAAATATACATTTTTGTATATGTTGTATAGAGGATAAATATTCCATCTTGTTCAGGGCATTGAAATCCTAAAATTTGGAGCCAAGAAATCTATTGAACTTGTACACATCCAGTTAGTCGTGATTGATTACCTTGCCTGTTCGGACTACACCTGATGATTACGTTTTTGTCACATGTTTTAACATTTGAAAATCATTCTAATTTAATTAAGCCAATAAATAAGTAATGAGTAAAAATATAAGGACAATGTTAGATGTACAAAATTTAGTTTACAAAAAGTTTTACTTACACTCACAATGAAAAGATCAGACCAGATGTTGGAATTTTTTATTTCATGCAAGGCTGCATGCATGTGAGAGGGAGTAAAACTTTTTATAAACCAAAATTTGTACAAATATCTTTATCCAAAATATAAAATATACTTTAATTACAAACATCAATTCTAATAGAGTTCATGACTTCTAAAATACGCCAAAACCTAAAGGTAAAACGGAGAATGCGGTTGAATTAACTACACAAAGATCAATAAGTCCAGTAAAGTTAAGTTCCTTTAACTAAAATGGATTATTTACATGCTATATCTGATATTACAATTAGCACTATTGTTAATTTATTAGTGTAATCATGTGAAAAATTCTCCTTACCTTTTTTTCCTTCATTCCTATTCCAAGATATAAAGAATGATTCCCAGATTACTTAAAATTTATCACATAAACCAAAAAAATAATAAATAAAAAAAATTGTCCCCAATTCAAGCTGATGGGACTCTGTCTAGCATATATGGTTGAGGAAAAATTGACCACGTCTGAAAACAACTAGATTTAGAAACTCTGCTAGATGCATTAATTGAGAAATCATAATCCATGTTTAGACATGATTTTATTTTTATTTTAGCAATATATAGAATGCACTAATTTCAGACTTGACTTTTTATTCACGAGACATCGTTATAGGCTAAACGTCCTTCTAATTAAATATTCATAAATAGCAATTTATAGAATGCATTGAAAATACTCTAATATATGTCCCA